GCTCCTCCACGTGCCTGTGGGGCTATGTCCCCTGCACAGTGCCTCCCCCCACCATGCCACCATCCCCTCCTTCCCCGCCGTGCAGCCCCAGGCTCTGCCACAGCCGACGGGGCTCCCGGGAACCCTTCACAAGACTCTCATGGAGCTAAATTTGGACTCCTCCACCGAGGCTCTGCCAAGCTGTGACTCAGGGTCGCACCCCCGGTGAGCAATCTCAGGTCTGAAACTGAATCCAAGTTGCTGGGCAAGGCAGGGGATATTAAGGGAAGACAAACCAATGAGATCAGACAACTAAGTGCTCTTCTGTCTGGTGACTCGGTGCTGAGCCCTGCGAGCCCCTCGCTGCTCCCCTGGAGCCTGGGGGGACCTGGGCTGAGGGGCACAGCCTGACACAATCCTGTGAGGCTCAGCACCCAGCTCCTGCCCAGCAGCAGCCCCTAAAGAGAGATGTGTCAAGGTGCCCGGGGCTTGGGGATCTCCCTGCTTCCTCCCCTCCTGCTTCCTGTGTCCCCAGCGGGCAGTGCCACATCCCAAACCCCACCAGTCACAGCTCCCGAAGGCACGGTTCCCAACCCAGTGCTGGCACCATGCCCAGACCCAGCGCAGAGACCCCAGCAGGAGATGAGCATCACAGCTAATGGGGCTGGTGGGGACACAGCAGAGGAGAAGCTGAGACACGTCCCACCAAACTCCCCTTCCCAGGCTGCAATCGTATGGCACAACCGTTGTGTCACCGGGTTTGCTGACAACCTGCTCCATCCATCCATTCATCTATCCACCCATCCATCCATCCCCTTGCAGTCCGGCCCTTGAGCTGCTCCCTGGCTGTGCTTGCTGCCTTTAAAGTGCACTGTGGGGCCATGCCCGGGCTGTGGGGCACGGCCATGGGGCACCCCACTCTGCACAAGCACGTGCGGGCAGCGGCCCCCAAGCCCACGTGCGGGCAGCGGCATTGTTCGCTGGGTTGTTTTTCATAAAGATGGGTCAAGTCAAAGGCCAGGAGGTGATAAGTGCTTCTTCCACTCGCTTGTGCTAATGGATTTGCAGCACTAGGAAGCAGCTGCTAATACCTCTCCCGCCTCTCAGGAGAGCCGGCCCCAGCAGAGCAGCGCAGGCAGCGCTCTGCCTGCTCCTGCCAGCCAGCCCTGCCTGCCCACAGCCCTGCTCAGCATCCCCCCTCCAGGTCCCCCCCAGCTCCAGGTGCTGGGGATCATTCCTGTGCCCAGTGCCACGCTGGGACCCTGCACCGCCGGGACCCCAGGCACCCAGTGCAGCTGGGACCCCAGCTGTGGGGCTGGGGGGAAGCTGTGGCATCACCATGGGGTGGGAAGCCAGTGCGGTGGCACACAGCAGAGACCTCCCCGGAGCAAGGGCAGTGCCCAGCTCAGCCTGGCATCCCGGGCAATATCCAGAGTGTGCAGACATACATCCCACCCAGACCTGCCACGCTGCACCCATGTGGCATGGCACCACCCAGGTCAGCTGCCCTCAGTCCCACAGTCTCTTCCCTTGTGATGGGAGGGAGGTCTCCCTATACTCCCCCAGATCCCTCCAAATGTCACCTCCAGGTACACCCACCAGCTCTCCCACACTGCCAGGGTCCCTCCTCCTAGTTCCCACCTTCACCTTCACCATGCAGCACATTTTTGGGACAGTCCCAAGGGCTTCCTCATGCTCTGGGACCCACCACTCCCCCTCCTCCAGGTCCCCCTGGCACACAGGGCTGCAGAGCATCGGCTTGTTACAGTCCTGTGCTCCTCACACAGATCTCTCCCACCTCTCTCTGACAGAGAGTGGTGACAGGACACCCAGGAGAGGACTTTGTCCCAGCCTGGATGTGGGTACTGGGGGTTTGGCTTTGCAGAGCCAGCCTGGCAAAGCGGGCACTGCCTGTACAGCTCCTGGGGCCAAGCAATGGAAGGGCAAAACATGGCTTCCTCAAAAATAAAAATACTTGGCTGCGGTCACGGCAGGGATGAAGCAACCTGGAAACTGGCATTTGTGCCTTGAAAAAACAGGAAGAGTGCAGGAGCACATGCCAGGATGGCTGGGTCAAGATGGGTCCAGCTGAGAGCTCCAGGGATGGGAAAGCCCAAGGAGAACCCGTGGTAGATCGGCCACACTCTGTGCCCAGGGAGGACAAGGCACAACCCCATGGGTGTCAGCTGCGGCCCGCAGTGCCAGCCCTCAGTCCCTGCCCTGTCACCTCCCGGTTGGCGCAGAGAGGTTCACTGGGGCTCCAGCCTGGGACCCTCAGTACAGGCAACAGGGGGGCTGCTCTGGCAGCCCAGCAAACCCTCTCCCATGGGTGCACGAAGAAGTGGCCACAGCAGCAAGAGCCTGTGCCTGCAGGATCGGGCCAGGGAGCCCATGAGGAAGGTAGAACCTGCCTCTAATGCAAGAAAAAACAGCCTTGGCTCCCTGCAGCCCCCTCCCTGCCCACCCAGTGCCCCTCCTCGGGCCAAGGGCTGGCTCTCGCCCAGCATGAGCCGGGGAGAAGTCACCCATGGGTGACTGCTCCCTGCTCCGTGTTGACAGCAAACATGGGGCTGGTGGCTGGGCAGAGCCGGCTGCGCTCAGCCGTGCCGGGAGGGTGCAGCCGGGACCGTGCCAGCCCGGAGCTGCCCGGCTTGGGAGGAGGGAGGTGACAGCAAAGCCACCCTGACCCAGGAGTGAAGGCACAAAGGTTGCAGCAAACGTCCTTGATGCCTCAGAGCCTGCCGTGCTCGGGGACAGGGGAGGTCACACTGGGAAGGTGAACACACAGAGAGGACTTGGAGCAGCGATGGGGGTCGGTGGTCCCTCCCCTCCCACATCTCAAGGGATGATGGGGCTGTCGGGCTGATTTACACCTCCTGTGGTGGGTCAGTACGCACTCCATCACCTGGAGGGGCACCTGGTGCACCCCAGCACTGCTGCAGGACTGGCTGCAGCCCAGGGTGCACCCCACAGCCTTCAGGGGAGGCCATAACACCTTCCCCAGCCCCTGTAGCTGCAGACCCCAGCAGCGGTGACAGCCCCGCAGCCCCACGACAGTCCTGCTACCCTCCCGAGAGACCCATGCAGCCCCTGGGCTCTCCCCAAGTGCCTCAGCAGTGAAGGCAGAACCCCTGCCTGCAAGCAGGGGGCACAGAGGGATGGGGGGCCACCAGAGCCTGGATCCCTGCCCAGTGCCACCCACCCGTCCCTGCCTGACCCCATGCCACCCAACCACCTCTGCCTGCCCTAGTGCCACCCCTGCCTGCCCTAGTGCCACCCCTGCCTGCCCTAGTGCCACCCCTGCCTGCCCTAGTGCCACCCCTGCCTGCCCTAGTGCCACCCCTGCCTGCCCTAGTGCCACCCCTGCCTGCCCTAGTGCCACCCCTGCCTGCCCTAGTGCCACCCCTGCCTGCCCTAGTGCCACCCCTGCCTGCCCTAGTGCCACCCCTGCCTGCCCTAGTGCCACCCCTGCCTGCCCTAGTGCCACCCCTGCCTGCCCTAGTGCCACCCCTGCCTGCCCTAGTGCCACCCCTGCCTGCCCTAGTGCCACCCCTGCCTGCCCCAGTGCCACCCACCCGTCCCTGCCTGACCCCATGCCACCCAACCACCTCTGCCTGCCCTAGTGCCACCCACCCACCCCTGCCTGCCCCAGTGCCACCCACTTGTCCCTACCACCCCTGCCTGCCCCAGTGTCACCCACGCACCTCTGCCTGACCCCGTGCCACCCAACCACCCCTGCCTGCCC